ACTTAGGTTGGCTTGCAAAACATTCAAACAAAATATTGTATATCCATAAAAATACTGACATAGCAATACAAGAAACTGAAACCAAAACTTATGGTTGAGTGTATTTAATTAAACATAGAAAAATAAATTTCAGATTTTTCAGAGCCTCATTTTGTGTGGGAATATAGTTTGTTAATACAGTATTTAAGATTATGTACCAAATTTGTTATTTAAAGGGCCATGTCATGATTCTCAATATGATCCATCTGGTCACTTCTGTCATTCTTCAGAGAAATCTCCACTATTACTGATCAGACATTCTTAGGAATCAACCAATTTTCCCTTCTACAAAGTATAATATTTAAATACTTTCTATGTATGGTCTTTGTCAAATTAATTGGAAACTGTTTTAGGACACAATGAACTAAGAATTCTATATATTCTATTAGAAGAAGTGGTAGTTGGGTTTCCATGAAGATAATCATTCTAGATTTTGCTTCTAAAGATGTAGACTTTTGAATGTATACAGTGTTAAAATTATTAAGGAGAGTGTAGAAAAAGGAGCTCTGAAAATGTACATTGTACTTTGAAAATGAGATTTGAACAGCAGCTTACTAAAAGTCATTGCAAATCAGTCAGCTAACTCCAGCCAAGCCTGAAAGCAGGATCACAATACAATAACATTGCCCTGTAAAAGAATCTCTTTAATGGCTGACAGTTCAGTGTGGAAGTGAAAAAAGAAGATAATTGAAAGTGTGTTGAAATAACTGGTTTGTAATATGTAAAATGTTAACATGACCGGTGGGTGGTGTTTGCAGATCCTGTGACTTCTTCTACCTTAATGTCACAACCCCTGTAATTTACACCCAGTGTTACCAAATGGCTGAGTAACAGTCAAACAATAATGTTTACTGGTTGTTGTGGGTTTTTCGGGCTCTTTGGCCATGTTCTGAAGGTTGTTCTTCCTGATGTTTCACCAGCCTCTGTGGCTGGCATCTTCAGAGGACTGGAGTAGGAACTCTGTCCATTCTCTGTTGCTGTTTGTTGGATAGTTGTGTATTTATAGCTGTGGGAACAGCGTTTGTCTTTTTTCAGGAGACTGATTGATTGATTGATTGATTGATTGAATGATTGATTGATTGATTGATTGATTTGATTTTTACCCCACCCCTCTAGACCATGTCTACTCAGGGTGGCTTACAAAATAAAACAGATCAGTATAAAAATATATATATGATCATAAAAATTACAATTGCAATAGGGTGATCAGCATGTTTTTGTTGTGATAAACGGGGGAGAGATTATCTGTCATTGTGATTGATGTGTGTCGTTAGCTGGTCTTTTTAATGCAATGATCTCTGGGCCTCTGGCCCTTGTGGCTGGGTAGAGTTTTGCAGGCTGTATTTTTCAGAATAGGGCACCAGGCCGTGTTTAGTTTTAGACCTTCTTCCTTTCTGTTGAAGTTCTGTTTATGTTTATGGATTTCAGTGGCTTCCCTGTGCAGTCTAACATACAGATTGCTGGTGTTGTCCAGTACTTCAGTATTTTGATCATTGCAAAAAAAGACCTAGATGCTGATCAGCCTCTCTCCTGAAAAAAGACAAAAGCTGTTCCCACAGCTATAAATACTCAACTATCCAACAAACAGCATCCTCTGAAGATGCCAGCTACAGGGACTGGCGAAACGTCAGGAAGAACAACCTTCAGAAAACGGCCAAAGAGCCCGAAAAACCCACAACAACCATTAGATCCCGGCCATGAAAGCCTTCGTGAATACAATAATGTTTACCGTCATGGTGTCAGCTTGACAGTAGTTTGTTCTGCTATCCCAATGAAAACAATAGAAATTTCCATTATAAATGTTCCGATTGTACATCAAGATGCTGTAACATATAGAAGGGAAACGTAAAAATCTGAAAAAAATATAGGGAGGCAGGAGACACACATGCAACACAACACAACTTCACACACCACACACACTGGTTATCAACCACACTGATATGAGGAATGTCAGGAATCATGTAGGAGCAGCAACAGTGGTAGCAGATGAGAACATGGATTTCTCCCCATAGATTTAAACTGGCTTCACTAGGCGAGAATTTAGAATTATTTTCTGTGTATCATTTATAATATGCTTAAAGGCTAAGAAAGTCATTTTCTTTAATATAGTCTTACTTTTAAGAACTGTGATACTTTAAGAGGTGTATTCTTTGCTTTTTCAATGTGGCTTTTAAAGCCATAAGCCTTTGCATTTTTAGAATGTAATTAAACATTATTTTCGGCATTTTATTGTACTTTTCATACTTCTGTATCTTGGATTAAATTCTGACTCTAAGTATTTGCCTGCAATTTAAGTTTAATGTTCATATATTTTTAAGCATTTGTCCCTGCAGATTTTCCATAGCTGTAGGACTTTGGATGTTTAAAACAACTTTGAAGTATTTTTGTCCTTACAGAACATAGCAGCAGTGTAGACAAATAAAGCTTGTAGAATTAAAGAATCATTGCAACAACGAACAAAATATACATTGATATCTGGATTAATTTTGACATGATTGGAAATGATTGTCTGATGTCATTCTGGAATTAACCCTAAATTTGATAAATGCCAGGTGGGATGAATACAAGTTTCTGATTTTTAACTAGACTTCTATAAGTTTATATAGGACTCTTAGGGGGATGTTCAAGCATCAGATTCTCTGACCTGACATGCCCAAAAGAATTCAAATCTGTCATGCAAATTGGTAGATCTCAAGTTATGCAAAGAATCAAATGAAACTTTAAAAAAAAAAAAACACCAAAGCACACTTGCATGTCCAACAATTGTTGCAAGGAAATCAATTCCCAAATTAATTTATTGTTACTGTTTTTGTATTGGAGGAGTTATTCAGCAAGAGTTACCACCTTAAATTACAGCAATGAAAGCATAAAAGCTAGGCACTTCTATCTGAATATCAGCCTATGTCAGTGTCACAATTAAAATTAAGAAAGATGTTACCACGAAGAAATTACAGTACTTGTAGTCCAGCCCAAGCCCAAGCCCAGTGGAAAGAATGGGTGTTCCTCAGGAATTATTCTGATCCCTCAAACTTCCCAACGCCTGCTTTTCACCAAATATTTTGCAACAGAGATGAACTTTTTTGCATTAAAGCTGGCAGCAAACAATTTTCTGGTATGATTAACAATTACAAGAAAAAAATTACCCACTTTTGGAATCAACTCACACTGTGAATGAATAAAGAAATAATTCTGTTCCATCAGGAATAACTGATTACTTTCCTGTATCTCTGCACAGAGAATCACATACTCCCAGAAGGCTATCAGGAAGGAAGGAAGAGCTAGAGCAGCAAATCATGCAGAGTTGCAGCAGGAAGCCTCTTATTTCCATAGGTGCTTTGGGGCTCACAGGAACAGTTTCATGCTACACCCTTCTTTATCCTAACAAAGGGTTTCAGGAAACACATGATAAGATTAGGATGGGAAGATCTGTCAAGTTGAATGGCCAAGTTTTATGGCCAAACTGGAATCTGTAGTGCACCTCTGTGTAAAGCATTTCCCCAGTTTGTGTTTATACAGAGTCACAAGGCTATTTCTTGCACAAATGGATGTTGACAAGAGGATCAAGTCACATCTACTCCCACCTTGCCATACTCCCAGTTGCTTTTAAGGTTTAAACATGGCAGCGTTGGTCCCATTAACCCTTAGGGTAGTTGTCTGCATTTTTGAAAACTGAGGTGAGTGATTGGAGCAGGGGTGTTAGAGAGCCATGTTTGGGCCCCAGGAGCTTGTACATGGTCCACAGATTGCACTTTGCCCATACCTGTTTTATAGCTTCAGTATATCCAGTCATTATGTAACAACATATCATGTGCTGTGAAAGTGTTCTAATGAGTCCAATCTAAGTGATTTGCAACCTGTAATTTATACTATGATACCTAATTGATTAACTTCCCTGTTGAATAAATGATTTATGTTTTGACTTCACACATGTCCCAACATTTTATTGATATTAAAGTATTAATATCTGGTGGCAGCAAAGAAGAAGGAAGAGCGAGATCTTTGTGAAGGTCAGGGGAATAGGGGCTTCAAAGGTGATCGTGACACATGATAACTAGGAAAGAGTGGCCGTGGTGTTTCATGTCGTAATGAATTCTTTTCACATTTGTAGCAGTAAATAGTCTTACACTTTTTAACAAAATAGTTACTTTAATGGAGTATTTAAAATAAATCTGAAACATCTGTCAGTAAGACTGAATACATGAACAGGGAAAATGCTGTACTTTATAAAGTAAAGTTAAGCATTCATTATACAAAATACTTTTTGTTTTTTTTTTCTCATCAGCATTTTGCTGCTTACTGATTTATAGTCAGGAGTACTGCTTTATACATGTATCTATACATATTCACAAATAACTTGGTCCACTGGACCTAAACCCAATGGAACTGGGAATCCTTCTTTTCTGCTAATACTTGTAACTCCAATTTTGCATCCCCCGACAACAGGTTTAGGAGCTGCACCAATTAGCGTTTCCCAAATTTTGAAGTGGGAATGGGAGATCACCTACCAACTCCCATTTCCATTGGATTACATTGTTCCACCAGAAGTCAAACACAGAATACTGTAGTTAACTTATTTCACACTTTTCCTCATAGGGAAAAAAAATCATCAGCCATCCTGGTCTACTTAGGCAGGTTTTCCATCCTCACCCCCAACTCTGTAGAATAGCATAGCAAAAACTCTTAGAAATCTTTTTTTCCCTAAACAAAAATAAATATTTTAATTGTGAAGGGATTCACGTCCTGTCCACCCTACACTTTCCACACTATAAAGTAGTGCATTAGGTACACCGGAGTGTGGAATCCTTTTTGAAAAGTGCAAAAATTACTGCTTGTAGCTGTCCACCAGCACCTCTTTCAGAAGTACAGTAATCCAAAACAGACTAATAAGGACAGTCTGAAATCCACAGAATCAATGTTTCAAATCCCCAGATAGTTTTGTGCTCTTCTGCCAGTGCTACAGGTTTTTTTTTCTGCTCAGCAGTTATTGAAATCATTTCCAGATCACCTGTTAAAAGTGACCATGTCCCTGATAACCATTAAACACATTCTTCCTAAGTCTCACAATGTACGAGGAAGGACACCCCCTTTACACTTTCCATAAAGCAGAGTGTCTTTTACCCATTACATATTCATCCCTGATTTAAAATCCACACAGAGATGCAAAAATTAAATGCATCTGAAGTTATTTTCCAGTGAAATGAAATGACCCCATCTGTCTATGTTCAGTTTTTCCACCAGATTACATTTACGTTATTTAGGCAACTGCATCTCCAAGACTACCCATCTCAACTCTTACAGCTCCAGCTTGCTTTCAGTTCTGTCCAGCAGGACTGGCAACAGAAACAGCGCTACTGGGGCTTCCTCCTTCATCCATCTTCGTTTGGAGGCAGGAGATTATAGATCTCACTTTGGCACTTCTTTGGCTTGCTCCCAAGCTGGCTTTTCTTCCAGCTAGCTATAGCATTGAGCTCTAAAACTAGGCCATCTAAGAGAGGTTGAATCCTGCAGGCAATGCACTAGCAAACTGACTGTCTGCTAGGTTATGATTAAATACATTCATCATACCATTCTTCCCCATCTGCAGCATTAGAAGGCACACATAGAATGATATTGCAGATTGGTACACTGATAGAAATGATTGGCACAGAACTTCACTCGCCCTTGAAACCCTCCGTCTCTAGTGAATTCAGGCAGCATGTGTGTGTGTGTTTAGTGACCTCTGAACAGTCTATTCCTTATAATGGAGTGTTTTCCAAGAACTGACATCACAAGAGTGCAAAAAGGTGCTCTTTGGCAATGAGTTGTTGCAAGCTGAAATACAAAAGAAGTCTCACCATTACTTCAGGAGAGCTTGATACAAGGCTAAGGAATGCTTCAGTTCTCTTTCCTGTTCCATACAAAAGATCAAGTCCCTGAGACAGACACGTGTTATCCTTGGACGAAGACACGGCCTTGCAAAGCTGGGCAATCCATTCAAGCCCTGGACAAGGGGGAAAAAAGGGAGATGGTGTTACTAATCAAAATGCAAGATGTACACCATAAAGAACAACTGAAATAATATCCTGCAGAAACATTATGTTCAAACTTCATTCCTCGATATTCTCCCCTAATCTACTCCTCTCACTTTGGGGATTCTTTGGGGCTGCCTCCCCAACTGGCTTAATCTCACTACTAGCTTCTCCCTTGTATGAACAGATTTCTGCAGAGTGGTGACTCCATTGCTAATCACTGCTCTCCAAATTGAGAGAACAAGTCTCCTTCCCCCACTCAGATCATAAACAATTGATACTGCTTTTTCAGCATCATTCATTGTATACCACACTGGGACATACTGGTACTGGATGGAAGTATCTGCTAGCCCAGCCCCCGTTTTAGCACATTCCAGCCTATGTTTACAATACAGCTCACCCTTAAACCCAAGTCATCATGCAATCAGGGCAGAGGGTGAGGCCAGCCTACTGCAGGTAAGCTGAGCAATAGCTGGCCTGTTTGAAGGGAGTAACTGGATACAGAACACTGAAGGTCCACTTTCTTCCAAATCCAAGCAATTGCTGGCAGCCATTCAAATTATGTCATTATCCCCCAATTAAAAAGCAGGGTCAGAGTGTGACCAGACAGTGAGAAAGGATCACATCTGATTGCTCTGAAAAGGGTCGCTTTGGTTGGAGTGATCTTGCTTAAGGCAACCTTTCTGTCCATGCAGGAATAGCTGCAGTCCAGCACCCAAAACAGGGTGAACCAAAATAGGTCCAGCTTGGTCACAAATCATATTTGGGCTGGATTGCTACTGCCCATAAGTCATGTGATTGCTGGGAAATAACTTGCATTGAACCATGCCACAAACAGTCCAAAATGCAAGCTATTTCCCTGTCTGACCACACACTAAATTAATACAAGGAAATCCATAGTTAATATAAACAAAGGAAACAGGGCAACATAACTCAGAAGCAATTCATTAAAAATACAGTGGTGCCTCGCTTAACGAGCGCACCGTTTAACGAAGAATCCGTATAGCGATCCCTTTTTGGGGATCGCTATACGGATCTGCCCCAATCGCCGCACTCGCTTTGCGACGATTGGGGCGTC